ATGGCCGAAAGTCTAAGTCAATTTCGGCCGAAACCGAAGAAAAACCGAAAGTTAACTTTTCTCTTTCGGCCGAAACCGAAATTAAGCCGAAAGTTAACTTTTCAGTTTCGGCCGAAACCGAAACTTGGCCGAAAGTGATAAAATGGCCACTTTCGGCGCCGAAACCGAAGCCGAAGCCGAAATTCGGTCGGTCTCTCCATAGTAATTTACGGTAGATTAGACAATTTACAAACTTGACAATCACAATCTAATACAAATAATATTTATTTATTAAGAAGAGGGCAAAATTTCAATCTATACAGTGCTAATTTAACACTAATCCCTCAAGTTAACAAAAAATATTTAATCTAAAAGAAATTTATATCTGTGCTCTGACAATAATGATGTTTAAAAAAATATTTGAGCACTGATACAAATTTATTCTTTACACAACATGTAATACAATTAATAAAGTTAATCTTAAATAATGTTCTTTCTTCTTCTTTTACGTCTCGTTTTCAATGAGTCTTTGGTTATGATAAGGTCATCATGTGGTTTAATTCACTTTTACCTCCACACTATTTTCCTCCACACAAGTAAAGTAAGTCATCATTTTCCTCCACACTAAGCAAAGTAAGTCATCATTTTCCGCCACACTAAGCAAAGTAAGTCATCATTTTCCTCCACACTAAGCAAAGTAAGTCATCATTTTCCTCCACACTAAGCAAAGTAAGTCATCATTTTCCTCCACTCATATGTAAGCTTATGTCATCAATTCCACATTTTCCTCCAAACCTAGATATCACTCGCCATCATAGGAGATTACGAGGTCATTGAATTGAGAAGTTCAGAAAAGTATCATGTCTGTCTTTTTCACCTAACAGTTCGATTAAGTTGAATCGTAATTAAAGATTTCCACAAAATTCTTGAAGTAAACAAGAGATTATACCGAATTCACAATTAGTTACAGTTGTTCGTCACGTCTATATTCACATACAGTGCACACAGATCACACAATGCTAATGTCACTATCAGTGATAATTTAATACTATCAGTATCAGTCTATCAACAACAGAGGCGTTGTGTAATTCATTTAAAGATAGTGACTATCATTTATTATAAATACACACTCACGAATAAGTAATCATAATCACACATAAAGAATACTTATCATTCTTATAACCTATTCATTATCTTACTAATTAATATATTAATATCATGGACTTAAACTTATAATAACCGCCATGATTCTCTCCTCTATCTTATCTTCTCCCTGATTGGTCCGTCTTTTTCAAGTTCCATACTCTATAAGTTCTCAGTTCTAATTCTCACCTCTCTTAACTCCCTTAACTCAACTTATCTCTGTGACACTTATGACAACACATTTTTTTTCAAAATTACCGCCCCAACCCCCACCACCAACATACAAAAATGGTGTTTTCTTGTTTACTAAGGGTAAGAAACCATTCCGATACCAAAAAATAAGTTGCTACAATCACATCAATGATAAATCCGGTAAAATGACATAAATGCAATAAAAAATGATATAAAGGATTTATATGAAAAAGTTTTTATTTTATTATATCTTTTAAAATTCTATTAGCTTCATGTAGCTAGATTTCAGCTGGGGAGGAGAAACATGTGTTTTTTTAAAGAGGTGGGTCGGCGGCGGTTGGAATATAATCAGGTACGTATTATTTCATAGGTAAAATTGTATATTTAATACGATTTTTATGGATACACTTTGAGCTTCTACTGCTAAAATAATTACAAATGCCACAAATTGCACCGCCACTCAAACAACGGTTGACAGAAGACGGAAAGACAGACTGACAGGCAGACAGGCAGACAGCTTTGTCTTTCATGTTTTTTTTTGGTTTAATCAAATTCTTAAACCATACATTTCAAGTGAGAATGTTCCATGGTTCAGACCACACATAAAAACTGTCATTGAGATGTGAACATGTGTATGCGAAACATCCTGACTACGCCATCCATCAGCTCCACACACACACGGCTGTACCGTTGCGCTAAAGGAAAGAAATACATCCAAAGATCAACTCTGTCATTGTATTGAGAACAAGACATTAAAATGTGCCGACAGTTGTTTTAAAACGTCACTTTTACATAAAGGAAAAGTTTGCAGGTGAGTTCGAAATGTATTTATATATTTATGTGTGTCTGCGCTTGCGACTGTGTGAATCTGTGTTTGTCTGTGCGTGTCTATGCATGACTCTGTGTGTAAACATGTTTGCGTGTTTGTTAATCTGTATGTTCATGGCTGTTTAAGACAGTTATCTCGTGTTTGCCTGTTTGTGAATCTGTATGTTCTTAGCTGTTCAAGACATTTATCTCGTGTTTGCCTGTTTTTGAATCTGTATGTTCATGGCTGTTTAAGACAGTTATCTCGTGTTTGCCTGTTTGTGAATCTGTATGTTCATGGCTGTTTAAGACAGTTATCTCCACGTGAGTTAAATCCAGAGTGCAATTGTTTTAAGTTTCATCTTTTCCAAATAAAAATTGTTCTTCAAAGTATTGTATCTCTTATGTAATAAACCAAGGTACATAGTCAGATTATCATGTGTAATAAACCAAGTTACATAGTCAGATTATCTTAAGTGATAAACCAAGGTAAATAGTCAGATTGTCTTATTTAATTAACCAAAGTAAATAGATTGTCTTATGTAATAAACCAAGGTAAATAGCCAGATTGTCTTATGTAATAAACCAAGGTAAATAGCCAGATTGTCTTATGTAATAAACCAAAGTAAATAGATTGTCTTATGTAATAAACCAAGGTAAATAGCCAGATTGTCTTATGTAATAAACCAAGGTAAATAGTCAGATTGTCTTATGTAATAAACCAAAGTAAATAGATTGTCTTATGTAATAAACTAAGGTAAATAGTCAGATTGTCTTATGTAATAAACCAAAGTAAATAGATTGTCTTATGTAATAAACCAAGGTAAATATATTGTCTTATGTAATAAACCAAGGTAAATCGTCAGATTGTCCTATGAGATAAACCAAGCTCAACAGGTACAGATGGCATCTCACCTAGAAATAACCGTTAGACAGAGCTGACGCGCGTGAACCATTACGTCTTCACTACTAGGCATACCAGGATTAATTCATAATAAAATATTAGCTCACCATATCTTTGCATCAATCCTAAGGATGGACATGGAAAGGTCAGTTGTATTGTTTGCTTTCATTCATCAAACAACTTTAACCCGTTCAAAGAAATTTAAATTATTTTAAAGAATGTGCAACCACACTTGTTATATATTATAAAATCCTTGTTGAGCATCGAAGACACCAAACATTACGAACTACTCCTGATTTGGAACCGTTAATCTTGCAACAATCATCTGGACATCTCCTTACTCTCTAATGCAGGCAAGATACTTCGAAAAAAAACGTCTTAATGCGTTTCTTGAGAAGGGTCTCCTGCCAGATAGTCAATGTGGTTTCCGTTAAGATCACGGAACTATTGATTTGGTGTTTGCAGTCAGGCGGTCATATGAAAAATGCAAGGAAAAAGAGTGTTGACGTCTCATCCGACTATGTAGAACTGACGTAGGCTTTCGACACTGTCAGTAGAGATGTTCTTTGGAAAATGGTGGCCAAATAGAGATGACCAAGAAATGCCATATCATTAGTACAGTAATTTTATTAAATATAGTTTACACTACATTGTTTAGAAAAAGTGAATCTGTTGTTTTTATCAAGCACAATGACAGTTAAGTTGAAGCTACTGGCGGTAAAAATTTCTTGGAATCTATCGAGCATGGGAGTTCATTAATAATCGTTACGACTGGATACCATGTTTCATTACTCGCGATATGTTTTTTGAGAGATTAATTAGTTAGTGAACGCTCTTCCCGCGTTTGACTTCGTGACATAGTTACATGCTTATTATGACGTATTGTCTAGTCCAATGTTTCCCGACCAATGGAGTCGAATAATGGATTCAAACAATGTTGTGTCCAGGTTGTCCAGGCTCCCCACTTTTCTGTCTCATGTTTTCAACTATTTAACCTCAAGAGACTACATGCTAGATCCAAGTTACTGACAATCATCAGGGACTTCCTGTATACTCACGACATACAGACAACCTAAAAGCCTTACTGAAAGCATTCGACATAGACCCGGGCACATGGGAATAAGCGGCAAAGGATCGAGCAGTGTGGTGTTCCTCTTTACATAAAGGCTTCATTCAACATGAAGCCAACAGAACGACATCTACAAAGCACAAAAGTTACGCATGAAAAGCTCGGGTCAATCCTACACCTGGAGATGTCCCATCCATTCCCTGTACTACACAAGAATATTTCGGGCCAGAATCGGTCGGTCTCATGAGCCATCTGCTCACCCACGGACAAATTAAGAATTAACGCGAATACGATGATTAAAATGGTTAGCGTCATGGTTGATTTGGAAGGACGAACTACATATAAATATATAATATATATATAACTGTAACATTTCATAGGATAAAACATTTTATCAGCTTACAGGGCAGCTACATTCATAAACGGTCCAGGCGTCAATATGGAAGTGGTGGGTCGTCCCAACAGGAATTGGATCAAGGCGACCCCTGTACAAGTCCATCAGTTCGTGTGTTTCTGTATCAGGAAATGGGTCTGGAATGACGTCACAAAAAACTGGAACAGAAATTGAATTGTGATTTTTGAGATGTGTTGTAAACAGATACTGATTTAATTACTGTATAGGTTTTTGAAGGCCTTGAAAATGATGTTTTTTTTTTTTTAATTTAACATTCTACTCATTTAACTACTTATTATCAAATCAAAGCTAAATTTTTTTTTAAATGAACCTTTACGAGTAACCCTTTACAGAGAAGTATTAGAAGAGAATAACGTACATTACCTCCCCTGGACTATTTTAAAACTTAAGAATGGCAAATAACTAAAAACAACATTTGAGTTTTCTTGAAAATCATACAAAATCTCATTGAACTGAAGGACATGTGTGCAGTGGTGAGTTTATTTCACATCCTTGAGGAAGAATTGTTTCCACTACATTGTTTAGACAACGTGAATCTGTTGTTTTTATCAAACACAATGACAGTTAAGTTGAAGCTACGAACGGTAAAAAATTCTTGAATCTGTCGAGCATGGGAGTTCATTAGTAATCGTTGCGACTAATTATCCTGTTTGAATACACGAAAATATGTTTTTGAGAAATTAATTAGAACCCTCTCAATCCCAAGAACCAAAACTAACACCATCGGTGAACGCTCCTTCTGCTTTCATGGGCCCACGTTCTGGAACCAGCTCCCCTTCCATATCCGTCATTGTGAAACCTCGTCCATTTTCAAAAAGTCCCTTAAAACTCATCTGTTTAGGTCCGCCTATGACCTGTGATGCACCCTCCTTGCCCTACCTCATTTTCTGTTTCGGGTTGATCCTGAAGTGTCAAAGTGTCCTCGTTTTATAGCCATTTTCATTGTTTCTATAGTATAGAAGTTACTATCCTAGTGTCTCATTTTTGTTTACTTAGTTTACATGTTTTAATAATTGTAAAGCGCTTAGAGCTTTATGGTAAGCGCTATATAAAAATGCCTAAATAAATAAATAAATAAATAATTAGTTAGTGAGCGCTCTTCCCGCGCGTGTCTTCGTGACGTATTGTTATGCTTATAATTGCGTAATGTCTAGTCCAGTGTTTCCCCACCTTGCCCCACCTAAACCTTCATAAAATTCGTATGTCTTCCTTACTCCCCCCCCCCAACCATGTATCATATGCATAATTTTTAATATTAAAAAAAAGGCTTGTTCACTTAACAAACTTGAATGATAGGTTTTAGGGAGAAATCACTAGGCATTTGTTGAGAAAAGAAAATAAGTACATTTTCAAAACATTTAATGGGGAACTGAATATAAAGTTCGAAATAATTTTAATGAAAGATTTTTCTATATTATTTCAATGATTAGTAATTATTTATCATGTAACTTTAGTGAGAGGTTTGTGCTTGAGGCTTGCTGCCAAGAGATTGTATGTCAGGTTCCAGTTGAGTTAGCTTCAGTCTCAAGTCTCCCCGTAGTGTGGTATCCAGCCCATTTCTTTTTCAACAAATCATTTATGGCACTAAATCCACATTCAGCTAAATATGAAGATGGAAACGGTAACAATAGTTTTCTTGCACATTTGGCTGAATTTGGAGATTTGATTTCCGTTTACTCACAAGTGTCCTCGCTCCTTTGATTATTCAATAACGTTTTAACTGAATCATAATTTTGCATTTCTTCGAGTTCTTCTTGACACTACATATTTGAAATATCAGACAAATCCATTAACATTTCCTGCATCATCCAAGTTGGAAAATCATTTTGTTTCAAATCAGAAAATCTTTCTTTTAAATCAACGGATAGAATTTTCAGATGAACGACTAGAGCCAAATAAACTTTTCAAAATTTTTGTTGTAAGTATTGTTCTGACAATATTCAATAAAGATAATGAAACCAAAAATCTTCTTATCAGGTTCGTTACTTTAAAAAATCACAAGAGTATCAAATAGTTCTATGAATCTTTTCAAGCAATTTTCTTTCGAAGGCCATCTTACTTCAGTGTGGTGTAAAAGTGTCACAAAGTCCACATTTTACTTTTCACAAAAAAGCTTGAAAAGACGTTCACATTTTGCATTAATTTAATAACATTAATACATTTTAGAATTGATTTGAGTCCTTCATTTTGAAGAAGTGAAATGTTTTTAGCTACCAAGTCTTCCCTATAAAAACACAATGCACAAGAAGCATTTCTGGATTCTCATCTTTCATCAATTTTAAGCAGCCATTGTTCTTGCCCATCATATTAGGAGCACCATCTGCAGCACAAGAAGTTATATTTTCATTGGTATCTTATTGACATCTATGTTGATGTTTTACCTTATTATATAAAAATAATCTATCTCTGGTGGTAGTGGTGCTTCTAATGATTGACATAACAACATTTCTTCAGCAAAATACCCTTATCAATAAATCTTAAGTTAGTTATCAATACAGCCTCACTGTGTCTCAAACTTGATTCAACCATTTGCACTGAGAATTATCTTTTTTCAGCTTTTCAACAAGTTTTATTTCAATATCTTAACCCATTTCGTCTATTCTCCCGCTAACAGTATTGCTACTGAGTGGCATACCTTTCATGTCTTTGTCAACCTTTTCCAGAACCGCTTTATGAAATGCTGTTATTGATGGTTTGATTTAATTATCTCATAGAGCATGATTTTTCCCAGATTTAGGAAATTTCATAACTAGCATCAAGAGTACAATTGATAGTTGCAGTATGCGCAGTAAATAGAGACTTTAATGTTGCTGGGTTGTTTTTTTGTTTTTTTGTTGTTTTTTTTTCAAAATGCAAGATAATCATTGTAAACGCTTGGTTTTCAAATTCTAGGCCGCTCATTTTCCAATTGCCCCCCCCCCACCCCTAAAAAATAAAATTGCCACCTTGTGGGGCATGGGCCCCATGTAGGGAAACACCGGTCTAGTCTCTTTTGTTACGTACGTTTTAGTAGTGAGAAACTCTTGAAAGGAACTTTGTGAAAGGAGGTTGTGTTTTATTTCTCTCTGATAGCTGACATATTTGTAAGAACAAGAATTCAGAATACTTTCATTTATTTAAAATGAATGTTCTATTCGTCTTTCGGCACATTTTCATATGAGACAAATTACCTCACGGTGAGACCCTTACCTTAAGGAGGACAATGGTAATGTTATGTTACCACCTGTGGGACATGTGCCTGTGTTTACTAACCTCCAATAGGACATTGGTAGTGGGGACAACAGTCCTCGTCATACGTCACCTGTCCCTCCTCGCACATGACGCTGTACGTCCCGCATCTCTGACGTAGGCAGTGCTGACGTGACGTACCTATCTCGCAGGTGCACATCAGACATGTATTGCCTTCACCGTACGGATAGGATGACCCCAGGCTGTACAGCGCCCCGTCAACGTTACACCCCAGCTGTTCACAACAGCAGCCGTCATGTGACCACTGAAGCCCAATAGAAAACAAAGGTTAGTCATGGAGGCAAGTTGGGCACTGAAACTTTTTAGTGCTCATCATGGGACCCTCAAGACACATTTTTTGGTCCCATATTTTAAATTGATGCGTCTTTTAATTTCAATCTTGTAAACCAGGCCTGCACAACTCAAAATGTAAGGCGGGCAGTAATAAATTATGAAAAACTTTGCGGGCAAGAAGAAAATAGGACAGGACTTATGCGGGCAAAAAGAATATAGGTCAGGGTGAAAGCTTTTAAGAAAATAATAAGAATAAAGAATATTCCGTTACTTCGCGGGCCGCAAAGTGGGTGCTGGCGGGCCCGATGCGGCCCGCTGGCCGTATGTTGTGCAGGCCTGTTGTAAACCAATAATATATTCATAGCGGATAAATCCATGTTGTTGAAGAAATAAGTCAATTTGTTGTTGAAATAAGTCGATTTGTTGACGAAATAAGTCAATTTGTTGAAGAAATAAGTCAATTTGTTGAAGAAATAAGTCAATTTGTTGAAGAAATAAGTCAATTTGTTGAAGAAATAAGTCAATTTTTTGAAGAAATAAGTCAATTTGTTGAAGAAATAAGTCAATTTGTTGAAGAAATAAGTCAATTTGTTGAAGAAATAAGTCAATTTGTTGAAGACATAAGTCAATTTGTTGAAGAAGTAAGTCAATTTGTTTTGAAGAAATAAGTCAATTTGTTGAAGAAATAAGTCAATTTGTTGAAGAAATAAGTCAATTTGTTGAAGAAATAAGTCAATTTGTTGAAGACATAAGTCAATTTGTTGAAGAAGTAAGTCAATTTGTTGAAGACATAAGTCAATTTGTTGAAGACATAAGTCAATTTGTTGAAGAAATAAGTAAATTTGTAGCGCAAATGACTTGCTTCCAGCATCTGGCCATTCATACATCCATCCTAAAGGGCAAGGATATATGCTTGCTATATATCTATAACTTAGCCTAACACACCCCTTGTCTTATGTCTTACCCTAACACACCCCTTGTCTTATGTCTTACCCTAACACACCACTTGTCTTATGACTCACCCTAATACACCATTTATCCTGAGTAAAGTCGTATGGTACCTCACACACTGGACCAACACACCAGACCCCCAGGACATCACAGGAACAGGTTCTACATCGCTCTGTCCACTCTGAGCCAACGTTGTGGAACTCTTTGGTCTCCAGAGAATTAAATGAGTCCAAGTTGACGGTGTACCTACCCTGTGCCAGAGACATAGACAAATTTTTAGTAGGTTTCAAATTATTTTCCGAGCCACAAGTTTTGTTTCATTAATCACATTTGGTATGCTTGTGTAAATCAGTGGTTCTTAACATGTCGCTTACGGACTCTTTGGGGATCTGTGAACAGGTGTAGTAGGGTCCGTGACCGCCATTTCTATTTAAATAGTATTTTCTTTATCAAACTGTATTCTAAGATGGGGTCCGTCTCTTTCTTCTGACAGGGCAAAGTGGTGGATTGAACAAACATAGAAAAACTATTTTTTTTAAGCGCTCAAGTTGCCAACATAAACATCATTGTTAGATAATCTTTCTGTATTCTAAGATGGGGTCCGTCTCTTTCTTCTGACAGGGCAAAGTGGTGGATTGAACAAACATAGAAAAACTATTTTTTTTAAGCGCTCAAGTTGCCAACATAAACATCATTGTTAGATAATCTTTGTTTTCGAAAATTATTTCAGGAAAAATAATGATTTACTTTAATATGTTTTAAAAATTCGTAATATTTATTTTTATGACAGAATGAAAATATAAAAATGATATTCATCTGTTTGGAAGAGGATAATGTGCACGTGCGTACCGACTGACTGCAGTCAAAATTCATGTAAAATGCGCCACATGAGAATGTAGAATTTTTATTACTACAAGTTTATATTAAAATCGGTTTTAAAAAATTCACCTCCACAATGCACTGGCCATAATCATAGGAGCCAGTTTTGATGACGACATTTGCCCTCTCTGATGAACTTGAATCCTCTAACAAAATGATCACAGCAAGTATAGGAATCCAGCAAGCCATGGCTGACAGCATTCAGTAAAGTACCTCACTTTGAAATGAAATATGGATCACAAACAATTTTTTCAAATTAGATTTTTAAGCGATTTTTGTAATAATTTTTTGTAATTCTCCGATACAATTTATTTTAGTTTATAAACAGCTGTCGCTCACTTTGAACTGTAAATCTGTTTACTATTTTTACCAATGATGGCCCTTTTCTAGTTGCGAGTTTTAAAATGATTAAGTATATTATTATTATTGTTTTTTCCTGCTTGTTACATCTGCTGTCTTCAAGAACTTTGAACAGCTGCTAATCAAAACACAAATTGAACTACTGAAAAAGAAACAATTCTAACTGTAAGCCTATTTCATAGCTATTTCATTTGTTCCTCTAACGAAAAACTTTGAGATCGTCACAGATAGTCCGACAACTTTAAGATCGTCACAGATAGTCCGACAACTTAGAGATCGTCACAGATAGTCCGACAACTTTAAGATCGTTACAGATAGTCCGACAACTTAGAGATCGTCACAGATAGTTCGACAACTTTGAGATCGTTACAGATAGTCCGAAAACTTAGAGAGCGTCACAGATAGTCCGACTTAAAGTAATCAAACAATAAGCCCTAGTTAAACACAAACAATGGGCGTCAAGGTTTTTATCCTGGTAACATCTGTGAACAAATCCCAAAACAACAACAACCAATGGTTCTCACATTACAACAATCTAATGTTTATCTGGCAAGGTGCCCCACTGTCCACAATCCAGGAAATCTTACTCTACCCATATCACTGAATCAGCCGTTGGTAATACATGATCTTTGAATAGTGTAATCCACTAAATTTACCCAACAAGTTTATGGTTTATAAAGATAAACAGTAAAAAGTTGTACATACATATAATGCATATTCAGATAGCTCGAAAAGCTCACAACATTTAAACTTAAGTGTGCATTTAAAAGTCGTCCGCGACCTTTTGATAACGCTAGAATTGAGTTTGTCGTGTTAATGTTAGGAACCATCAAGAGGTTATATTTGTCCGATTCATCAAGCTGTGGCACTCGAGACCCAAATAATTCTTATTTGTAACAAAAATAAAAATGGGTTTGTGAAATGAGAAGATTGTAAATAAGAGCCAATAAGTAGATGATGGGCAGGACGAAGGCTAAATGAAACCAGGGGCGCTTGTGTTCAAAATGAGTTTGATACTATTCGTAAGATCATGATTTATTTTTATTTTTATAGGTTTGAGAACCCGTGAAGTCATGGTACGGTATTCCAATTCTCTCCCCATCATCCAAGTGCGTAATTTGGCGATACCACTACTGAGCAATTTCGAGCGGTTAAAATGTAACCTGAGTCAAAGCTAAAATAGAATAGCCTATATAAGGCGGTGATCCCCAAACCATGCACTCGGGGGTACCTGGTCATTCTGTCCTCCTGCTCTATTTAATCGGAGTTGTATTGCTGTTTTCATTAGGAATTAAAATAATGACTTTCAGCTTTCAATGTCTCTTATGTCTATAAAATGTACTTTTTAATGGAAATCTAATAATTTATTTATTTTATGTTAGATAGTTATTTGGTTATCATTTGTGTGCATCCATTTTACAAAATTAATTTACTGACATTTGTGTAGGTGTTTGTTTCATGATTATTATTTAGTTTTCACATCTATAAATGCTATTCGAAAATGTTACATACAACCTTAAAAATGTTCTGCACTGTTCACAAATATATATCGTACCACATACTTTCTTTGCGTAATGCATTTTAAAACAATTTTTAAATTACAGATCTGTGAGAGGAAAACAGATTTCAGATCTGGTGTTGCTCAAAGTCAGCCTAAGTCTTCGTTAGCGTGACCACAGAATCAGCCAAAGTCTTGATTAGCGTCACTAGAAAAATTTACGAAAAACTATGGAACCACTTGTCCTGGGCGTGTTTCGACAAAAGTCTAATGACAAGTGACGAGCATGCAAAGGGCATGCATTACGGTCCCTAGTTCGGAAGCGAGCTATTTTAGTTTCAACTTCATATCACAATCAGTGATTCCCAAATAGTTTTGAAAGTCGCTTACCTTTCTTGCTCTGAGTTCAAACTCAGTGTTCATCGAAGACAAATGAGCTGCAATTGTGCATTGTTATAATTTTCATGAAATTGTATTATCCGTCAAACATTGTGTATAGTCACAAAGGGCGGAGGTGCTGATAGCTCCTCAAGTGACGCCTCTGCTTACATTGTCAATTAGTGTTAGGATAAGAACGTGTATCCGTAGTAGTGACCTTGACCTGACCGCGTGCCCCCTTTCTTAGCTGTTGCAGATGAAAATAAATCCAAATAGGGTACTAAAATATGGCGTTAAAATATGGCGTTAAAATATGGCGTTAAAATATGGCGTTAAAATATAGCGTTAAAATATTGCATTAAAATATGGCATTAAATTATGGCACTAAAATGTGGCTTTAAAATATGGCATTAATTATTTAAAATATGGCTTTAAATTATGACCTTAAAATATGTCAATAAAATATGGCACTAAAATATGGATTTAAAATATGGCATAAAATATGGCATTACAATTCACATAACTTGAAACCAAAAAGAACTCCAAATACATTGTCAAATGTGTTTTTGAAGAAGAAAAAAAGTTGGGGATTGGCATTTAGGTCTTCCTAACCGCTTGATATGTAGTAATAACAAACAAACCAAATGCAGTTTATTTATTTATTTAGGCATTTTTATATAGCGCTTTCCTTAAAGCTCTAAGCGCTTCACAATTATTAACAATATGTACATTATTCAAACTGCTAAAGTAAAATAAAAATGAAAAACCAGAGACACTAGCATAGTAACAACTATGTGAAAAATGACTATAGAAAAAGTAGCTTAAACATTGAAATGGCTATAAAAACGAGTAGACTGTGGCACGTTTTGGCCTCTACTACAGGATCAACCCGAGACAGAAAATGAGGCAGGGCGAAGAGGGTGCATCACAGGTCATAGGCGGACCTAAACAGATGGGTTTTAAGGGACTTTTTGAAAGTGGACGAGGTTTCCCAATGACGGATGTGGAAGGGGAGCTGGTTCCAGAACGTGGGCGCATGGAAGTAGAAGGAGCGTTCACCGATGGTCTTAGTTTATGTTCTTGGGATTGAGAGGGTTCTATTGTCAATTGAAGAGCGTAGTTGTCTTGTGGGGACGTAAGGAAGCTACAGTTCAGAGAGATAGACAGTAAAGTTTGGGTCAGTGAACGAGTTGAAGCATAGATTGGCAGACTTGTACTTGATGCGAGAGGATATTGGAAGCCAGTGGAGTTGCCGCATGCGTGGTTGAATGTGGTCATGTTTCTTTGATTTAAAAATGAGTCTGCATGCTGAGTTCTGTGCCTTCTGAAGTTTGTCTATGTGGTGGTGAGGAATGCCTGCGAGAAGAGTGTTACAGTGGACACATTTTGAAAAAATGAGTGAAGAGACCAGAGTTTTTGTGGCATCAAAGGAGAGGAGGTGTCTAATGGTGGCATCAAAGGAGGGGAGGTGTCTAATGGTGGCATCAAAGGAGGGGAGGTGTCTAATGGTGGCATCAAAGGAGGGGAGGTGTCTAATGGTGGCATCAAAGGAGGGGAGGTGTCTAATGGTGCTGATTTTTTTTTTGTACCAAAACCAACAGTGCTGAAATTCCTGCAACTGCCCATCACATCATCATTTTCATTGTTGGGAACACGTGGCGGCTGGAGTTATACAGCGTTGACAGGACGAATAAGTTCAAGGTGTGGAAGTTGCAGTGCCGTTATTTTTGGCACACGTGGTAATAAAAGACAACATAATAACACATTATCCCCGTTCCCTTTCATGCTTACATCCAGCACACGTGTATTATACCTCCTTCGTTCTATTTCCTTCCAGCACACGTGTATTATACCTCCTTCGTTCTATTTCCTTCCAGCACTTCTTAGGTCACGTGTATTATACCTCCTTCGTTCTATTTCCTTCCGGCACTTCTTAGGTCACGTGTATTATACCTCCTTCGTTCTATTTCCTTCCAGCACACGTGTATTATACCTCCTTCGTTCTATTTCCTTCCAGCACACGTGTATTATACCTCCTTCGTTCTATTTCCTTCCAGCACTTCTTAGGTCACGTGTATTATACCTCCTTCGTTCTATTTCCTTCCAGCACTTCTTAGGTCACGTGTATTATACCTCCTTCGTTCTATTTCCTTCCAGCACTTCTTAGGTCGCTCTCAGTTCTTAGTTTATCCTCGGTCTTGAAGCACCATCTTATCTACTGATTTATTTTTAAAATAATTTATTTACGTTATTTTAGTTGTTCAGCGAAGTAGGCTTTTGGTCGACGCGTTCGTTGTTTTGTGATGTGTCGTTTTTTTCCCCCGTTAAATTTTCCCTTTCCTTATTAGCTTATCCCACAACTTGATCTCCTGCTCCCCATGTTATATTAACAGAATATTTCAATAGCACCAGCGGTATTCACAGACACGTCAGAGAGTTCGCTGTTGTGCTCGGGCCAACCTGAAAAGTTGCAGTCTGATTCAATGCTTGCTCTAAAGAGTTGCTTGAATACATGTTACTTTCATTCAACACTTTTAACTCCGACTCCTAGAACGTCAATCGGGTTTCAGGTGGTCGCTGCCAGTAAATCCATGTTGGGGTAAAGTTGTCAATTTTGCTAAAGTAACTTTCGATCTTAATATTATTACAAGCAGAATTAGAAGTGAATTTGAATATATATATATATATATATATATATATATATATATATATCATGTTAAGTTTTAAGTATTTTAGACAATATACAAATTCAAAAGATCCGGCAAATTCCTTAATCGGCACAAGAAATAACATTAATGTTATTATAATTTAAATTTCGGCGCAGTTCCTCAATGATGACACTCTTGGGGACGGCGTCTGCTGGTCAAATAGTTTTGAATCTAGACTGAAGAACGTTAAAAGGCACTGTATTCAATGATATTTTTAATAAATTTCCAATTAATTAAACAGCAGAGCTTAGGATATCTTTGCTACATGTCCTCGATTGTTCTGAACATATTTTAGAAATATTTGGAGAAAATTAATGTGGCATCATTTAGAACATAAAAATGAACCTAGTGCATTTATACGAAAGTCCACAGGAAAGGTCAAAATGACTAAGTAGTGTTGAGAAAAATACTCAAACAAGACAACAGAAAGTGAACTTAATACTAATACATTCCTCTCCTCCTAGAAGAAAAAAAACAGCAGCATAGGACACCCTGTAATTTTGATCAGTCCAGGTGAAACAGAAACAGGCTTCATGAATTAGCCACGGGTGAACGGATATCGAAACTGACAGGTATGTCAACAAACACTGTTACAGATATTGTGACCAAACAAATTAAATATAATAATTCTTCAGTTCAAAAAAACAAATGAATAAAAAAAAACAATCTATTTTAAAATCATATTTCGGAAAATTCAGAGAAGCAGCATTAGTGCTAATGGATTTTAAATGTATGAGAGCAAATATTTTTTATTGGAAGGTGCTACGCAAAACAATTAATTAGTGTCATTTGATGGATAAATGAGCATCCAAATATGCTTGAACTCACTTGAACACATTACTTTCATATAGGCTTGAACTCACTTGAACACATTACATTCAAATATGCTTGAACTCACTTGAACACATTACATTCAAATATGCTTGAACTCACTTGAACACATTACATTCAAATATGCTTGGACTCACTTGAACACATTACATTCAAATATGCTTGAACTCACTTGAACACATTACTTTCAAATATGCTTGAACTCACTTGAACACATTACATTCAAATATGCTTGAACTCACTTGAACACACTACTAGTTATAGCCCGTCAACAGATGGTGGCGGCAATGCGTGAACTGCCCATCTACTAAAGTAACTTGACAAAAAATGGACAAAGTAACTCCACTAGTACGCAACCGCACCCTTTACTTAACTATATTAATATTCTAATGCCCCAACGACTTTTAAACCGTATATTTATTACTCCGTTGTTAAATTGAAACTATTTCCGTAAAACAAAAGAAACTATTAAGCACCAAATGAACTTGTGGCATTTTTAAGAATCGAATTTAGCGCAGTTCTCGGGAGATTTTATTTTTGTTGCTATTGAACACAGCATTGCACCATACTTTCTTCCACACAAAGAGAACTGTATGTTTTCAAAGAGTCATTTTGGTTACTAATAACGTGTATAAAAGAAATAAAGCTCGTTATTTATTTAAAGGACAAACAAAACTTATGAAAATATAAAAGAATTTATGACTTTAAAATGGGGTAAAAGATATTATTTTATCTTAGGAGTGTTTCAAGAAATTCTTAGAAGAAAAAAACAGGAAATACCAAAGCTATCCAGGCGAAAACATAATTCAGCCATATTTTGGCCCAGATCTCAGTCTGCGGAAGTATTTAATGAAAACGAGCAGTGGACCGAGAAGCAGGTGTTGTGTCAGCTAGAATCAAGTTCCTGTTAGAACATGAGAGATCAGATCTCTGAGTGTTAAAGATTGTATTTCTCAATGGCAACAAGCAAGTTGTCGACTCCAGTCCACTATCGCTAGGAATACAAATGTAGTACCTGTTAAGAATACCTGAGAGAAGGAAGTTGTGACATTCCCTTGACACGTCAGTCTGGGACAGTTGCTCCGGACAGTTGCTCCGGACAGTTGCTCCGGACAGTTGCTCCGAACAGTTGCTCCGGACAGATGCTCCGAACAGTTGCTCCGGACAGTTGCTACGGACAGTTGCTCCGGACAGTTGCTCCGGACAGTTGCTCCGGACAGTTGCTCCGGACAGTTGCGCTAAGCTGACAAATTTTTCAATTAGTGGAGCAGACCGCTCAGAGCTGCGTGGTGGTTGAAGGTCATACAGAATGAAGATCCGTTTAAATAAGTTCATAGGAGAAATCAGATCTAAATAGCTGTTAAATATGACGCTGTTCCTGCCTTGCGTTCAATGTTGCAACATCACAGCTTCTAACGTAGACACAATAAGTAGGTATGCGTAAAATAAGCTTGTATGTATGATTTGATAAAATCTCTTGATCTTCTAAACCAGAACAGGGCAATTCTTTTTTTATTATTTTTTTTTTTACAGCACCTTAATTAATTCATTTAATTTTAAAGGTTTCTTGTGCAATTTAATGACATTTTCTGGAAGTCATTAGCAGGAAAAGGATAATGCGTCTGTGTGAACATTTGACGTGTGAACATTTGATGTGTGAACATTTGATGTGTGAATATTTGATGTGTGAACATTTGATGTGTGAACATTTGATGTGTGAACATTTGATGTGTGAATATTTGATGTGTGAACATTTGATGTGTGAACATTTGTTGTGTGAACTTTTGATGGTTAGTGCATGTGTCGGTGTCCGTATAGATCAGAAAGCAAGCATAAGGACATAAAACGGATGATCCAACAGAGCCCTAGAAGATGCTCAAGGAGCGATAAAGGATGCTAAGAGAGTCATGGCGTATTTTTATTGTGACTTGAAATATGGTGATAGCTAGAGATGCCTTTCCTTTGTCATTGTAGTCGATCCACTTTGAGATGTTCGTCACGCCTTACACGTGTATACATACGACTGAGAATTCAACATTACTGATTTATGTTCTCCAGATCCTAGAACAATGACAAATATAAATATAAAGAAAGTCAAGCATAAACCAAAACTAAGAATTTTTAAGAGCTTGAACCAGGGGTGGAGGGAGGGCGTGGGTAGAGGGGGGGGGGGTCGTAACCCGGGCGGCACTTTTTCTCTGTACATGGCGGCTCGGCATTTTCGGCCAACTGCAGAGACTTGTCGTGGCATGGAGGCGGCCCTGGTAACGCCACTGAATCCAATCATTCACGTCCATTTCTTTATTTTAATTGAATTAAATTCAGGCTTGTGGGGACCGATTGTTACAAGAGGTCGTTACCGCACCCACATGGTAACGTCAAGGGCCAGTAACTACGACAGAGCCCCCACACCGCGCCTCCAAATACCTAGACAAGCTACGTCAACACCAGAATAAGCTGTGCTTTTAGGACCGCGACCGTTCAATTCAAACACGTTAGCCCAGGGATTCTTAACATCTCACATACCATGATCCCTTTTCAGTGTGAAAGACATCTATCGTTGTTAAGTTATCTTTCAGTTGCCTTGTTAGATGTAAAAAGCTGTACAATTCCGTTAGCACCATCTACTGTATAGAAATAAAAGCTGTACAATTCCGTCAGCACCATCTACTGAATGGAAATAAAAGCTGCACAGTTCCGTAAGCACCATCTACTGAATGGAAATAAAAGCTGTACAATTCCGTCAGCACCATCTACTGAATGGAAATAAAAGCTGTACAATTTCATACGCACCATCTACTGTATAGAAATAAAAGCTGGACTTTTCCTTAAGCACCATCTACTGAATAGAAGTAAAAAGGTATACCATTTCACAAACACCATCTTCTTCATGCTTTTCTTGTATCTCAATGCAGTTTTGGAAGAGATATTGGTATAATGTCATTTTGCTACATATAACAAAAATAGGATTCCTCTGCAAGTTGTCCAGAATATAACAAGAAATAATTCTGTTAATGGGTTCGTTGTGAAATCGATGTCATAAACTTTGTGAAGTGGACATTTTGACATTTATACTTAATGTCCACAATTTAAGAACACATTTCTAATGTATTTGAAATGCTAAGACCACCATCAAGTGAGAAGCTCTCTATTTGTGCAATAACTGTAGGCCTAAACATACTTGTTTATAATCATTATAAGACCTTTTGTGTGACCACCAGTCCGTGAAGCTATTAGTGATTGTATTGTAGTGTATAACTATAGATCTACTTATTGAGTGGATTGGAGTTACCTGAGTGCATAGTTCAACAGGTGAGAAGGGGGCTGTTGAGGGGGGGGGGTCTTCAAACAGGTTGTCATGTGCAACAGGCTAGCTAGAAAGTTTCTCACACTTCTGCTCTGTACAGTTCCGCTTGGTTGATTCCGTTGAAAACATGTGTCGTGCATGTGTAAACCGGGCGACAGCCAAACTAATCAGGCCACATTTGGCTAGCTTCCGAAATCAGAACAAATTAGACGCGTAGCTCTTCAGCAATAAAATTACGACTGTGTTAAACGTGTGCCTCGGTGGCGGCTAAGAGATTCCCAGACGAGTTCCAGTTTGCTTCTTAGGACTTGTGTCAATCCAGCTTTATCGTTTATCTGTGCACATCAGATTCAAGTTTTGTAGAGCGAAAATTAAACTAGTAAAAAAATGAAGTGTTTGAAAAGCACCGTTAGAATTGAGCCAGGCGATCAAGCAATGCAGTTAGTTACGATCTAAGGTGTTACAATTACGCTCCACTAAACTTAACCTTGGCTAAATTTGCTTAGACGTAACGGTAAATAAAATATAGCTTATTATAAATGTGTCAGCATTACATTTTTTTGTTTAATTATTAGAAAATTTAATATTTTCACATTAAGTGCAAAAAAATAGTGGTCTAATCATGTGAATATTTAAAAAAAATAATATGTCTTAATATTGCCCGAGAGAGTTTGAATATTTTAAAATAAAGCTTGAAATTAAGTTTTTATAGATTTAGCTTTTTTTTTTTTGTTGTTGTTTTTTTGTTGTTTTTTTTTAAGACAAAAAATTACTAAATGGTATTGTCCTATTCACGTTCGACATGTGAATCACAATTGTTAGTGTCTTGCTTGAATCTGATATAAATATACTGTTTATTCTAATTACAACTATTCTTATATTTCAGATATCAACTTTGATTAAACCTACCCTTCTATGGAACACTCAACCATATTGATGACACCATAGAGTCACACTAAATTGACTTTGAAAATAGATTACGCTTATTCGACGGCAGCAACATCCACTTTTCGTTCTTTGGGAACTGTTGCTCCTTCCAAATGGATTTTAAGTTAGCTAGTTGATTAGCAAACTAACTTTTGATGTTTACAAGTTTGACGTAACAAGTCATCAATCTAATATCTAACCATTCCAGAGTTTGATGTTTACAAGTTTGACGTAACAAGTCATCAATCTAATATCTAACCATTCCAGAGTTTGATGTTTACAAGTTTGACGTAACAAGTCATCAATCTAATATCTAACCATTCCAGAGTTTGATGTTTACAAGTTTGACGTAACAAGTCATCAATCTAATATCTAACCATTCCAGAGTTTGATGTTTACAAGTTTGACGTAACAAGTCATCAATCTAATATCTAACCATTCCAGAGTTTGATGTTTACAAGTTTGACGTAACAAGTCATCAATCTAATGTCTAACCATTCCAGAGTTGAAATAAAGGAAACATTTTTCACTGCGTGATACATAGATGGTGATAAGGCAAAATTTTCTTGAATAAGATTCATCTCTTATTGAGGAATGTAATTCCATAATAGACCTGTAGGCGAGCCATGTTAACCACCAAGAGTTTGTGCGAGTAATGTTGACCACCAAGAGTTTGTGCGAGTAATGTTGACCACCAAGAGTTTGTGCGAGCCATGTTGACCACCAAAAGTTTGTGTGAGTAATGTTGACCACCAAGAGTTTGTGCGAGGCATGTTGACCACCAAAAGTTTGTGTGAGTAATGTTGACCACCAAGAGTTTATCCGAGCCATGTTGACCACCAAGAGTTTTTATCCATAATGAAACAAGGCAAAATTTTTGAGAAGCGCCGAAAAAGAAAGAAAAAATTTGAAGATCCCCTTTTGGGGCGCGGTGTATCTGAGGAAATACGGCGCCCGAGCCAACATCAAAAACTCCCTGCACATGTACCTACCACAGAGGATTACAAGGCAGTCTGGTTGGTCATTGCATGCACGATGTCCCTTGGAGCTGGGTTGTTGACAGGGGGGGTTATTCTAATTGTTCGAGGTCAACACAATAATATCACTGACTTCTTGGTGCTGGGATGTTGTGGAGTTGTGACGGGCCTGTGCTTCACGGTTGTCGCCGTAGTTCGTATGTACAAGTCAATTAGAACTACACCATCGATGAGGGTACATCGTGAACACAGGGGAGTATTGTCTGCAAGACAGGTGAGTAGTGTGTTGCATGGCTGAAATTAAGATGTTGGAATAACAAATGTTTGAGAAAATCTAATATACTAAGTGATTGTAATCTCAGTTATTGTATTAATGTATTAAATTATGATTTAACTGCAGCTAAATGTTAGAATTTGGTGGGGAGTGAGTCAGATTTAAATCCTATATAGCAAATATCCTCACCCAACTAGCAGCCACACCAGAGATAACGGCTTCGACTAGATGGGAGACACGATTGAGGGCAGCCGAGGGATATCAAATATTTTGGTAAAAAGGTATTGTCCCCCATAACTTTTAAAGCCTGGGTCCGGTGAATTGCTCGGAAGAATCACTATCTGGTCAATGGACAAAAAAGTGGAGACAGAAATGTAATTTGAGTCGCTCAGGGCGTGTCATGACACCCAGAACGCCATGGTCATTTGCTGCATCCAACAACCGACTAGACATTGTCAGCTGGATCCAAAATGGTATTGGGTGAGAGATTGAGGCTGACGAGTCGCGCAACTCTTGATCGCTTACATCCAACTCACAGCACGTGTCACTTGAACCATCAATCATTCCATCAGTCATTCCATCAGTCATTCCATCAGTCATTCCATCAGTCATTCCATCAGTTGTTCCATCAAAGTCTTCATTTAAAGTCTTCAGGCGATGTGCATCTAAGCGGCAGGTGTGGGAACACTGGCAGCCGAAGACGCCAACCTGAACATCCACGGCTCAGACCATGGTGTCCGGTTGCCCTCTGGGTGCCTGAGCTGTCCGCTTTAGGTACACACGGCTCTCGTCCATGTCATGAGAAAGGGGCTAGAAAATGTGCCCTAAACATTGTCTGCTGCACTCTTCCTACCCTATCCCACTGCAGTTCGAGGGGGCCCTATTTATGTGGTCGAAATTGAAAGAGATCAAACAAAGATGAAAAGGATCCCTCTAGAATTTGATGCTTGGAATGTGGGTACTGTTCAAGATAAGGACGATGCGGACAGACCTTAGAGCAAAACAGCACTTAAAAATGAAATGCCAGAAAAGCCTGACTTAATTATGTCCCATCAATCCCTTGAACTTACTGCACAAGAACATTGCGCCAGAATCGGTCTCATCAGCCATTTGTGCGGCCACAGCCAAGTTCACAATTAATATTGTGGAGAGTCGGACCACGCACGAGCGCCACCACGCACGAGCGCCGGCGCCGGACAGATCTCTCAGCAGGGTTACCGGCCATCAGGGATTACGGCCGTCTGACCACCCAGACAAGGATCAAACGCCTGACCATTTACGGCCGTCTGACACCCAGACACGACCGAAGGATCAAGCGCTGGGGGTAGATCTCTCAGCAGGGTTACCGGCCATCAGGGATTACGGCCGTCTGACCACCCAGACAAGGATCAAACGCCTGACCATTTACGGCCGTCTGACACCCAGACACGACCGAAGGATCAAGCGCTGGGGGGCGTATCGGCCATCCATCTGACCAGGGCATTTACCTGGGACGTCTAGACCATGGCGACAATTGAGAAACAGGGGGCGGGGTATAATCGGGACTGGGAGAGGAACTATGGAACGGGGAGGTATAAATAGGGAACTCTGGACGGGACGAAAGAGAAGGCGGCCGGACTGAGAACTAGATAGAGGGAGAAGTCAGAGTTGTGAGACGAGTGAAAGTGTAAGCAAGTGACAGCCAATAAAGAACACGTGTTTAATCATCAAATGTATCACCGGAGTTGTTTCCTTATTGAGTACCAGATCTAGATGAAGTTTAGCTAGAGAGTAAGCAAGGTTTCCTTACAATATATACGATCATTAAGGTGGTCATTAGTCTATTTCGATTGACCAGCTATACTTTTCCCACTTTAGAGATAAACAGGCGGAGAATGGACACAGCTGACAACTACCAGCATGTTATAAACAGGCTGAGAATGGACACTACTGACAACTACCAGCATGTTAATTTCCAGTGTAAGAACATTATCTGTCTCTTGACCAAACTTTATATTCTCCAACTGGCGGAAACTTCAGTAGAGTAGACAATCAACTGACTTTAGATCTGTGAAACATGATCCAATCATGAATTGACACGTTGGCTCAACAGTCGCGCCACCCACATCAAAGCCACATTGTTATGAGACAAGGAAGAATATTTAGTTATAAAGCACATACCCCCACCCCCCTCAATGATGCACCAAGGACGCCCAATGGGTTGGCGCAGTTCTCGTTTCGTCAGGATTTTGTGTTGGTCTGAAATTTCTTTATTTTCAAGGTGAACCATTAAACAATGATATAACATTTAATGACTGATATTGTTATGTTATTATATTATATTTATATTATAATCCCTTCTTAAGATATTACGAGGGAAAGAATAGAAATATTTTAAGACAAAGAACTTCCTTAAAACACAACATACAGTTATTGATGGCTAGACCGTAGTTGGCGGACACTGAGCTGAGAAGTATACCCCTAAGAATTATCTTTAGAGTTCCATCATAATGTTCATCAGTACAAGGGTAAAGATTGTATGCTGGGTCTTTTACTGTAGGAATGTTTTAATTTTTGACTCGTCAATTATGTCTAACTAAACTTTCTATTTATATTATCACCACAGCATTTAGCTGACAGAGCAGCTAAGGTGAAGTTGCTGAATGAGCAGATACCTGAATGTCGAGGAATGAAAAAGAATAATCAGCAAGCCATTGATGATGATCAGCAAAAACTTTTGGAAGGATCGAAACAAAAGAAAAGCTCGGATCGATCCCCTTCGAAAGTCGTGGGTCAATTCCCTGCCAAAGTCGTGCATTTTTTCGATCTCCCAAACGATTCGCAAAATGAAAAAGTGATATTTAAAAAAATTACACAAACAAGAAATGAATTTGTTCCCCTTGTTGACTTAAGCACCCGACACACTTCAAGCCAGAAAATCAGACATGTGAATAAAAGCCTTGATACTCGGTGCAATGGAGATAACAATGCAGCAGGCATGAATATGAAATTAAAAGCTAAAACTAGATCTACACCAGCTGCCATGTTGATAGATGACAGAAATAATGAAACCAGTTCAGCATCTGAGCGGCGCCTAGACCTTGTGGAGCGGCGACCAGACCTTGTGGAGCGGCGACCAGACCTTGTGGAGCAGCGTCCAGACCTGGTGGTACCCAGACACAGAAGTGAGCTTAAAATTGTTTTAAATAACAATAAAGAGCACCAAGCCAAGCACGGGATCGTGGCCATTAAGAAAAATTCTCAGCCACTAACTGTACATACGCTGACGTGTTTCAATAAGAAAACAGGAGACTCTGATATGTCCATCGCGCAACCTTCATCCAGACATTTAATCACGACAGTGGTGGATATTACGCCCTTCAATCCAGGGCATACGCTTACAACTGACCACCTATCGCCCTCTAATCCAGGGAGTAGGCTAATAGCTTTGGACATAACGCCCCACAATCCAGGGAATACGACCACAGCGGTCGCAGAAATCGTCCCGCAAACAGATGACCTTAGCCTCCCCGACCTACCGATAGACCACAATCTCTTCTACCATTTTTGCGACTCCGGAAAATCGTCCATAGATTCGTCCTCGATATTTCAAAGCTTCGACGAGGATGACGTCAAAGAGGATAATATATTTTCCCATTATCGCCTGATTTCCTGGGACCAGCCCCCACATTCTCTTAATGGGAAACGTGGACACACAGGTGCGAACGGCTGCCGGAGTTATAGCAGATCTGATTCATTTACTTACGAAAACTCACAGCAGACGATCAAAAAGCAGGTATGGTCTAAGCGAGGCAGCGGGGTCGCTGTGAGTAAACAGTTCATAAGGAATCCTGGATTCTACGTCATGGATGACCAGATCGAAGTGCTTGGTGAATAAATCTGAAAAGATGTTGCTGTCGGAGTGGTCGTACTTTTGAAAATTAGTCAAACACTCCTACGCATGATTTTTACAAATCATTGGGGAGATCAAAGCCAAATCTTTCCCCGGCGTGCAGCATGTAACCAGCGAGGATCATATACCAAGCGTAGAGCATATACCCGGCGTGGAGCATTTACCCGGCGTGGAGCGTATACCCGGCGTGGAGCGTATACCCGGCGTGGAGCATATACCCGGCGTGGGGCATATACCCGGCGTGGAGCGTATACCCGGCGTGGGGCATATACCCGGCGTGGAGCGTATACCCGGCGTGGAGCATATACCAAGCGTGGAGCATATACCAAGCGTGGAGCATATATCCGGTGTGGAGCATATCCCCGGGTTGGAGCACATACCCGGGGTGTACAAAGCCACTCTGTGATGCCCATGGATTTATTTCAAGGAGCTTGCGAATGCTGGTGTGGTTTTATACACGTTAAACTTTGAACTGTAACTGAAATGTTACACTGAATGCTGGTGTGGTTTTATACAAGTTAAACTTTGAACTGTAACTGAAATGTTACACACGCCATAGATGACACCATGGTGGCAAACCTCTTAGTGGCTTCAACCAGCTTGATAACATTGCAATATAGCAACCCGAGTGTAAAATAACTTAGACACCTTAGTTTATTTATTTATCTATGGGGTACTTGGATTATGGGAATGGCTGTAATTTATAGAGCGTAATAGTTTCAAATCCACGTGTTCATCTGTATACTAGAGACCGACCGAAAGTGATTTTCTGATTTCGGCCGAAGCCGCAAATAGGCCGAAAGTTTAAAATGACTTTCGGCCGCAACCAAAAAAAGACCGAAAGTTTAAAAATTACTTTCGGCCGAAACCGAAAAAAGGCCGAAAGTTAAAAATGAATTTCGGCCGAAGCCGAAACCGAAAATGAAATGTTAAGATATTTTGAAATTCGTTCCCACATACACTCTGCATACATCGAAAATGATGTGGGAAAGTATAAATATTTACATTCTTTTTATAAAAAATGAGATAATCGTGAATATTAATAAATAAACATCTAATATAGGGTTCTCAAACTCGCGGCCCGCGAGCCATTTGTGACCCGCAAGACGATATTTTGCGCCCGCTACGTGACAGAAAAGTTTAGTGTAAATGCGCCGGCCCGTTTCACCCATTCTCATATCTATAACGTGACTCTCCGCGACGGTTTCAGTCGAATCTCACCGACTAGTCTAATTCTGATTATTTTTTTAAACGCTTCT